ACAGTAATACATCAGGCGTGCTCTCCGTCAAAGAAATGAAGCAGCGAGCTAAGGAAACCCTTTGAGTGTCAGGACACCACTGAATCAGGATAATCATTAAAAATGGCGTACACTGTGATTGTCTTAGAGATGGCCCTTCTACATGGGATCTGTAAGTTGCTAGTTTAAAAATGCAAGAAAGGGGTTGGTGTTGTGGCACAGCAGGGTAAGCCACCACTTGGGGTGCTCGGACCCCGGACTGGAATGTCTGGGAGCAAGTCCCACCTGCGCTTCGGATCCAGCTTTCTGCCAACGTGCCTGGGAAGCAGCAGTGACGGCCCAGGTAACTGAGTTCCTGTCACCCATGTGGGAGACTCGGATGGAGTTCTGGGCTCCTGGTTTTGGTCTTGCTACTCTGGGTTATTGCAGACATTTGGGGAGTGAACCAGTGGATAAAGTTCTCTCTCTCTCTCTCTGTCTTTCAAATAAATAAGACTTTAAAAAAATGTGATAAAGTTATAGTTGCTTGTTGCAGAAAACACTGAAAATCACCAAGAAGAAAACCATTCCTTTACAATCCTGTTATTCAGTGAGAGTCACTTAGGATGGGTATATGCTCTCCTGGGACACTTTCCTATTTTTCTTCATAAAAATGGCATAATCCTTGACATATTATTTTGCATCCTGCTATTTTCACTGATTACATACGAAGATCGGATGCCAACAAATATTGTTCTATAAATGTTTTTGATGCCTATGCTGTATTTTATCTGACCAATCCCCAGTTGCTGACCCTTTTGGTTGTTTTAAATGTTTGATGTTATTAATAATGTTGCTTCAAAAAATCCTTGTACAAGTATTTTTATGCACACCTCTGATTTTCTAAATATTCCTAGGATGGAAATTTCTGGTCTAAAGATATATGTCCTTTCAAGGCTTTTGATACATATATATATAGTCAAAACTCCTGGGTACATCTGAAGTCAGGCTTCATGCTCAGTTATTTTAAACATATCACACAAGTAGTATAGATCTCCTATATATAGGAAACAGTTTTGGGGGAAAAATCGTTTTGCATGGAGTTAAGACATTTTATACGGGCTGAGCTCTTACTTGAGGTAAATGAAGCACTCAGATGCCATGATAAAAAGTTGGGTAAGCACACCTGGTCCAAGCTGGGAGAGCAGGGTGCTAGCGAGAGCAAAGTCCAGAAGTCAGCCTGGTGTTGGCCACAGGATGTCTCATGAACCTTGGCCAGCTGTCACACACATCAGTCTCCTGCCACAGGGAAGATTGGGTGACGGAATGTGAATTACTCAGCATGAGCAACCCTAACTCCTGGGTAAGCAACCCATGGCACCAAGCGATAGGCGTGTCATCTTTCTATAATAAAACAGGACATCAAGCTAGAAACTGCGACTGGCCGACTTACGACGAAATTGAAAGTTCAACAATGCTTCACGATGCCACCAGTGTCTATCAGTAATTCTCAATCAACAGAAGGCCTTCCTAGATCACTGTGACAAAGATGTGCTGGTCAGCAGGTCTCGTCAGAATGCAGCTGCCATCACAGAGTGGCCAGCCAGCATTTCAGCGGGGTCCCTTTAAACATCAAGCCCTCCTGACGCCAAATAAGAGGCAAAGATTTTTTTTTTCCATAAAGGTTGTTTGGGTCAGATGCATTTTTATCAACAGTTGAAAATTAAATTAGCATGTTGCTCAGGTGATGACAGCTTCCGTGGGTGAAGAGAAGGCGGGGCTGTTCTCAAGCAGAGAACGAAACGGCTGGAGATGAGTGGCGAGGTAGGCGATCCACTGAGCATCCTGGGCTGCAGTCACCGTGGGGGTCCTTCCACCACCTAAGAGTCTGATTTGGTGCAAACTGGCTTGGGTTGCCCAAAGGAAGCTGCCTAACCCTATCTGGCCAGTGCCTCAAAGGTTTCAAATCAAGGCAATTGCTTCCGCTGAACCAAAATGTAATTAATGAACAACAACCATTAAATTCATTAAACCACAAAGCATACAAGCTTCTTATCACAAAGCAAATATCAAAGCATAAAAAGTAATAGTTCCCTCTGAGTCACCCCCCTGTTCTGTCTCCCACTTCCCAGAGGTAAAAACTACTGTGTTTATCTTTTCAATCTTCAGATGCCTGTACTTGGAGATTTTCTTCTCTAATCACAGTTTATCCGGGAGTCTAAATTCGCTTGGGCTCTCCCACCTGAATAGCTTGCCTGGACTCCTCCGTCACTTGCTAGCCCCTGCCTTGGGCCAAGAGGACCTCCCTTTGCCTCTCCTCACGAGTGACAGGTGCCCCTCCCAACATGAATAGCTCCTTTCCCTTGCCCTCGGGATCCCACAGTGAGCCAAGCAAAGTCACCAATCTGAGCAAAGAGATCTGAGCTTATCTGAGCAAAGCCACCAATTAGAGCCACACCTCTAACGTAGAGGAAGCGGATGAAGGCCACGTGAGCTGTCCTCACAAACAGCTTTTCCATTTCTCATGAAGATCACTCCCGAGACTGACCCCCGCAGCAGGGGGACTAACTCCCAGGACACACACAAACACACCAGCGCGGGGCTCTCCTGGGGTCAAGTGCTCCTGCCCGCCAGCCTTGCAGATAAGCAGGTCACAGAATGCCCACAGACAAAGGGGTGTGTCGGAGGGCCAGGTCGTCACAGGACAAGTCTCTCTAAGCAAGTCGAACGCACCGGGGGGCTTGCTAGGAGCGGGGGCTGCTGAAATGAGTGTCTGAGACGATTGTGAATCATGATAAAGTTGTGGAAGCATTTTTCATTTTCTATGTTAGTAAATAAATAACAAACGCTTGCTAGCTTTTATTAAGCAGGTGCTCTACAGACGTTAGTTAATCCTCACAACACCCTGAAAAGCTGACAGTTAGCATTCCTGATTCACAGATGAGGAAACTGGCGCTCCGAGATTACATAACACACAAGGCCACACAGCCAGACAGCTGCCACTGGCAGCACCGGGATTTGAACTCCGGTCTGTCAGAAAGCCTCACTTTCCCGATGACGGGGCCCAGAAGATCCTTAGCGTTGCCCAGAACAGCAAAAGGTCTTGTTCTGAGGGCTGGAAGGCAACTGCATAGCCCAAAGTGCCCTTGTACCTGGCTTTCTGGAATGCAGTAGCCTCGCAGATAAGAAGCTGAGGGAATTTCAAATACCTGACCGCGGGTTTGCTTTCTGCTAGCTGACAAAGAAGAAAGAAAAGAAAGGAAAAGAAGGAAGGAAGAAAGAAAAAAGGCCTTCCTGAAGTTGGAATATGTGAGGCAAAATTATTTTTAAGGTGGCAAGAATAAATAGTTAACCAGACAATCTGACACTATATTTTGCTTGGTTTGCAACATCTCAGGCGATGAAACGAGCCCTTGTCTAAAGGGCTAATTACAGACTGCCACATTATTTTTATGAAGCCCTCTGGAACAGTAAACACGAGGGATGGAGCACTGTGGTGCTCCAGTCTGGAAATCTGATCCTGGCTCAGGCACTAATAGCCAGCAGTGCCCACGCTTAGCACCCTCAGGCTCCACCGAGTTTCCGCACACTTTCTACATCAGCTGGGTGACGGCAGGCAGGGCAACGCCCCACGTCCCACGTCCAGATCTGGAAAGAAGGGCTTGAAGTTTCTTCCGGGCCCCTCCGGGTTCCTGCGTCCTAAGGTGGGCGCAGGGGATGTGCACTTTAGGGTCTTTATGGATGCATTCTAGTTCTCGAAGGTCACATTTTCTGTTCAAAGTGTTACGTGGCTAAATTCAGTTATAGCTCCTAAGACGTTCACGCATTTCTCAGTTTCTGGAGACACCACATTAAGACCCTGTGGGTTCCTATGTGGGAACTTTGCTCTGTTCAATAGCCATCTGCCAGGCCTAACTCCAGCTGATCACAATCACCCTACAAATGCGACCCCACAGAGTGGGCTGGCTTGGAGGAAGTCCCGGCATCATCCCTCATGGCTAGCTACTGTGGAAACCATTCTTCCTCACTTCTAAGAAGCACAAATCCCTCCTGCAAGTCTTGGCGTTCTTAACCATTTTAACCTTCCTGAAGTTAGGACTGACCTTGAAACTAGCACATGTATTTTGATCTAGTAGCATTAAATTATTTTACCCAGAAGCTGTTGGTGAATTTCTGGTGTGTTTCAGAATCAAGGAAATACAGTTCCACATCCATCCCATGGTTTTAGGTCTAAATGGGTTCAAACCATGAACCTCTTCCCTTTAAAATTTATTTATTTGAAAGGCAAAGTGAGAGAGGGAACACCCACACACACAGGAGAGAAAGAGAGAGAGAGAGAGAGAGAGAGAGAGAGAGTGTTTCCATCTGCTGGTTCAGTCCCCAAATGCCAGCATCAGCAAGGGCTAAGCCAGGCCGAGGCCAGGAGCCAGGAACTCCACCTGAGCCCCCCATGTGGGTAGCAGGAACCCAGATACTTGGGCCATCATCTGTCTTCTCCCAGGTGCATTAGCAGGAAGCTGGACTGGAAGCATGGAGCACCCGGGACTCGAACCAGTCTGTCTGATATGGGATGTGTGCATCCCAAGTGCGGCTTAACCCGCTGCACCACAATGCCCATCCCTCTCCCTCTTAATGATTACATTCAGCACCAACTGGACAGACAATGAGCAAGACAAGTATTAGTCCTGTTTCCTAAGTAGCAGTTCAAAAGGCATTCCATCATTATCTCGTAAAACTCTGGGATGGGTTTCAAAGGGAAATTAGCCCCTATAAAAACGACTGTGATGCTCCGAGAATGTACTATCCCACGGCAAACTGGAAAGGGAAGATTTTACTCCTGCCCTCCTGGTCTGTCTAGCCTTGACACATTTTCTTGCTTCTTAATTCACACAACCCTCCACCCCAGTAATATCGCTGATTCCCAAAATACACTCGGCCCCGGAGGAGCAGCCCTCCAGCACAGCTGTCCGCTGCTCCCATGCTCGGGTATTTCGGAGAGCTATGCGACACACAGGGGACCACACAGAAGGAATGCAACTCACGGTTCTGACTGTGCTGTAGGCAGGTGCATCCCACCAAGCCCCAGACTGGCATCCGAACTCAGGAAACCACACTGCAGACAGGGGCCGCAGTCCGCCTCAACTTCATCTCTAAGTTTAAAACTAGGGCAGCAGCCATCTCGGTTGCTGTAAACTAATCTGATGGGCAGGAGGGTGGGGAGCGGCTCTGAGAAGGCTGCCAACAGGCCATGATTGAGCAAAGCCAAGGAGCCAAGTCATCATTGGCAACCCCAGAAACTCCACGTGAGTGGCTCCTGCACCACGATTTTCAGAAGGGGACCAGCCACTCCTTCTGCAGCCTAGCGTAGAATCCCCTACAGCCTCTGGGACGGAAGAACTGGCTTACAGGGACATGGACGTTCGAACAATCTGGAAGCCAGAGGGGAAGAAAGAATCAGAGGAAGTGGAGACGAGGTGCACACAGGGGCTGGCAGCCCTCGAGTTGGGGCATGCCTTTTAAGAGCTCCTGGCCGTGGCCACCGACTCTGACTTCAGCTCAGTTCCTGCTGGGAAAAGAAAACCGCTTAGGATCCTCCTCCCTCCCAGGAGCAGGGGCTGCAAAGGTGGGCAGGTGGGGGGTGGGGGTGGGTCAGCAAACACACCCAGGAATTGTCCAGCTAGGCCAGACCGCCTGTCGGCCAGTCTCCCTGCAGGCGGCAGGGACCGTGGCCTGGCACCTACCCGGGAGAGAACCCTCCGTTCTTCTCGGGGTTACTCGGCTGGTTGGCAGGGAATTCTCAGGTACCAAGGGTCAAGTCCTGCCACCACCACCCCTCCGTGCACAAACAGTGGGCGTCAGGCCCGCCTCCCCACTTCACATTACATCACAGTTGTATTGTGAGTTAAAAAGCAAAACAGAAACACTAAAAACCACAACGCATTTCAAAGAGCACTGCAAGACCCTCACTCACAACACCACACCGGAAGCGCAGGCAACCTTTCCTCCCCTCCCAGCCGCTGGTCACCGCGGGGCCGAAGCCCCCGGAGCCCTCCACAGCGGTGGGAACCGTCCAGAGCCGCCTCCCCAGCCCAGCCAGGGCGGCAGCGTGTGCCCAGGAACCCGGGCGCCCAGGTCAGGACCGGCGGAATGCGCCCCCTCCCCTAGGTCCCCCTCCCGGCTCCCTTGTCACTCTGGTGGCGTGTCGCTGGGAAACAGCGACAGGCCGGGGGTGTCAGGCCCAGGCGAGCGGGGACAAGGACGACCGCGGTAGTACGGGGGTGCGGGATGCCGGTCCTGGGCAAAGATGCGGTAGCGCCCCATCCGCCAGGGAAGGACCTCCGAGGCGGGTCCGAAGGGAGGGCGGGATGGAAGGGGAGGAGGAGTGGCTCGGGAGGCCCGGCAGCCGAGGCCGCGGCGACCCCCAAGGGCGGGCGGAAGGCGGAGGGGGCGGGGAGACGCGGTTGGGGGGCGCGGGTGCGGGTGCGGGGCGAGCGGGGCGCCCGGTTCCCCTCCCCCAGCCCGGGCCCGGGCCTCCCGCTGACTCAGCCCCAGGGCGACTGTCGCCTTGGCCCGACTCACAGTGCGCGAGGCGGCTCCGGCGGAGGCGGCAGGGGAGGGGGGGGCCAGGCGGCAGGGGCGCTGCGGCTGCGGCTGCGGCTCCGGCCGGCGGCTCGGGGCGCGGAGGGTCCTAGCAGAGGCCGCCGCGGTCTCCGGCTCCAACGCACAGAGACTGCGGGGGAAGAGAGCACTGCGCAGGCGCGATGCGGCCACCGCTGTCAGTCCGAGCGGGGCGGGGCCAGGGCGCCCGCCGTCTCCAAGGCAACCGGGCGGCGAGAGGACGACAGCCCCTACCTCCACCTTGTCTTAGCAACTGGGGGGGGGCGGCGAGAACAGTCCCTCCTGGTCGCCATGGCAACGGGGGGACGACACCAACTCGTACGTGGACCGCGGTACCGAGGGAACGCGCCCGCCTCGTCACCATGGTAACAGGGAATCGCCCCTTCCCTCGCCCTTAGCAACAGCGTCACAATCCCTCCGTCCTGTGTGAGCACGCGAGGAACGGCCGTCTACACCTGACTCCGGGTAGCCGGAGGTCCCACTCCTGTCTCGCTCGCGGCTTTGGCAGAGTGGCTGGACTGGACACGGGTTCTGCGCCTTCAGCGACGCCGGGCAGCTAAGGCCGGGTCTTCCCGCCTCTCTGAGGTGGTGGCTTGCCGTCGCAGTCTCCAAACTCCGATTCCTGAACCCGTGTTGGACATCCCCTTGCGTTTCCTACCAGGGAGTCGACACCTTTACGCCCAACGGAGCTGACAAAAGCCGGGTACACATACCGCGCGCGTCGTTACCACCCTGCGTCCGTCTCTCACCGCATCGCGCCCACCCTGTGGTTTAGCGCCCACCTTCCCCTAGCCCGCTCCCTCTTCTACGCGGCCGTTCGTGCCCCAGCTCCCCGTCCCAAGGCTGCTCTTGTGGGTCCCCCAGTTCCTGCAGCTCCCTGCCTGCTGCCCCTGGCCTCCCCTGCTCTGCCCGGAGCTCCAGCAAGCCCCCCAGCCCCACCCCCGCTGCGAGGTCCTCACCTTGGATCTCTGTGCAGGCGGCTTCTAGCTCTCCCTCCCTCATCCCCACTTCCATGGATGTCTTTCGGTCACCTGTGTCCCCACCTTTACCCACACACCTGACCGGATGGTCCTTTGTGTGCGCGCCGGTCTCCCCAGACACAGGGATCCTGACACATCCGCCTGTCCTCTCGGGCTCCAGCGACCTATAACAGAGCCCCGTCAGTGTCTGACAATGAGTCGGGGGTCGGGGAAGCCGCCTCTTCGTCCTCACTTTCTCTGGCCTCCTGTTTCCCTCGCTGGCTACACAGTCAGGACTGCTTCTGCTGCTGTAACCCTCCCACCCCCTGAGCCCTCACGCTCCTACTCACCGAGACTCCAACAGCCTCTGCTTCGGGAATCCTGGCCTCTGGTGATTCTCCCTTCCACACCATTCCAGATGTTTCCGCTGGGGTGCGTCTCCTCCCTCACAGCCCCCGTGGGGACTCCCGGCAGACTGTGATAGAGTGAGCTCGCCACACCTCACCCCAGCGCTGATCGGGCCCTCTCGCCAGCACGGCTGGATTCCGCTGCGCTTGTCAGCAATGCCAGAAATGCTACCTTCTATTCAGGTGACTCCCGGGCCAGGATTCACAGCCTGGCAGTCCTCTCCAGCTCCCGGAGCGTAAGTGCCCTCCCAGAGCTCTGGGTGTCAAAGCACCCGAGTGGAGCCTGTTTTCTCGGGGGAGACGAGGAGGCAGACTGCAGAGTAAGAGACGGGAGCGACACAGCATGCACGGGGCCAATGCCTCTCCTTCCCACTGTCTGCAGCAGTTCTCAGAAAGCGGTAGGCTCCTGGTGGACAGCAACTCCTGACCAATCTCATGGTTAAGGGGGTTTTAAAACATACTAATATGCCGGCGCCGCCGCTCACTAGGCTAATCCTCCGCCTAGCGGCGCCGGCACACCGGGTTCTAGTCCCGGTCGGGGTGCCAGATTCTGTCCCCGTTGCCCCTCTTCCAGGCCAGCTCTCTGTTGTGGCCAGGGAGTGCAGTGGAGGATGGCCCAAGTGCTTGGGCCCTGCACCGCATGGGAGACCAGGAGAAGCACCTGGCTCCTGCCATCGGATCAGCGCGGTGCGCTGGCCGCAGCGGCCATTGGAGGGTGAACCAACGGCAAAGGAAGAACTTTCTCTCTCTCTCTCTCACTGTCTACTCTGCCTGTCAAAAAATAAATAAAAAAATAAAAAATAATAAAAAAATACTAAAATGGGGCTAGCGCTGTGGCATAGTAGGCTAAACCTCCACCTGTGGCACCGGCATCCCATATGGGTGTCAGTCCGAGTCCTGGCCGCTCCACTTCCAATCCAGCTCACTGTAATGGTCTGGGAAAACAGTGGAAGATGGCCTAAATGCTTAGGCCCTGCACCCACATGGGAGACCCAGAGGAAGCTCCTGGCTTCTGGTTTTGGATTGGCTCAGCTCCAGCTGTTGAGGCTATTTGGGGAGTGAACCAGTACATGTAAAAACCCAGCGTCCGTGTTTACCTGGCCACAGAGTTGGAAAGCTGGTGCTGTTCCTAACGGCCTGTGCTGGGTAACCGAGGGCTACAGAGAATCACCTCGGCCTGCTTCCCCTTCCGAAGTTCCAGCTCAGCTCCGTGGTCGCGGGTGTGGACCTGGTGGTGCGGACTACCCGAGCATTCCTGAGCTTTGCATCCCAACCTCATCACCATACCTGGGGCAGAGGCACATTCCATCAAGAAGGCGTGCGTACCCTTCTCCCGCTTTGTCCACACGTCAACATTAACCGTGTCCAGCTGACCTGTCTCCACAAAACTAATCACGCAGCAGCCAGCAACTACTTCCGTATCTCCGTTCCTGAGGGCTGGGGTCTGGGACAGCTCAGCAGGTGGTTTGGGCCCAGAAGGACAAGCTTCTCTCGGAGTTGTGTCAGAGCTGACTGGGGCTTTCTCGGCTGTGGTGGCCGAGGACCGATGGCCTGCTTACCTGGGAGGCCAAGGTTTCCAGTGTGAGTGTCATTCACAATCTAGTTTCAGAATCACACACCTCCCTTTGCCCTATTAGGACCCTCCTCTCCCCCCCGCCAAAGCACGGGCAACAAAAGCGACAGTAGAAGAGTAAGCTAAGGAATCAACAGAGCGAAGGGAAGCCTGCAGAATGGGAGAAAATGTCTGCAAACTACTCATCTGACGAGGGATTAGTATCCAGAATACAAAAGGAACAATGCCAAAAAAAATCAACAACAAAAATAACCCCCAAACAAATCATTTTAAAAATGGGAAATTCGGTTAGAGTCCCGACTGCTCCACTTGCAATCCAGCTCCCTGCTAATGTGCCTGGGAAAGCAGGGGAAGGTGGCCCACGTGCTTGGGCCCCTTGCACCTGTGGGGGATCCAGAAGAAGCTCCTGGCTTCAGTCTGTCCCAGCCCTGGCTGTTGTCGTTGTTTAAGGAATGAACTGGTGGATGGAAGACCTCTCTCTGTCTCTCTCTCTCTCTCTGTTACTCTCTTTCATATAAATAAATAAATCTTTAATTTATAAACTGGGCAACTGATCTGACTAGATTTTTCAAAAGGAAGTATACAATGGCCAACAGGTATATGAAAAAAGTGCTCAACATCACTAGTCATCAGGGAATTGGCATCAAAGTCGTGTGGAGTTACCACCTCACGCTGTCAGAACAGCTGTTATCACAAAAGCTAAAACTAAAAAGTGCCATGTGGAGAGAAAGAACTCTTATACATTGTTGATGAGTATGTAAATTAATATAGTTATTATGGAGAACAGTACAGAGGTTCCTCGAAAAACCAAACATAGATCTGCCTTGTGATCTAGCTCTCTCCCTTCTGGGTTCATCAACAGGAAATGAAATCCAAATGTCAGGGAGACCTGTACTCCCTGTGTTTATCACCACACTATTCACAATGGACAAATATGGACCCAACCGTCATTGGTAGATAATGGACAGAGAAATTACGGTATGGATCTGCAATGGAATATTATTCAGCAACAAAGAGTGAATTCTGTCATTTGTGGCAAGATGGATGGAACTTGAGGACATTATGTTAATTGAAATAAGCCAGATGTAGGAAAAGAAATACTGCATGTTCTCACACAGGAAAGCTAAATTGTTGATCTCCAAGAAGAGACAACAGTGGCTATGGAGGCTAAACAGAGAGAGAAGTGGGAGAGAGCGAGAGCCAGGATAACAGGTAGCAAACTAGGTAAGAGGACTAAGTTCTAGTGTTGCACAGCACAGGCGGTGACCACGGTTTACAACAACCTGCCTGTATTTTATGAGGAGCAAAGGTTCCAAGCACAATGAGATAAGGTGGAAATGCCAGTCACCTTGATATGATTACGTTGTATGAGTGTATTGAATTATCGCACTGTACGCCATAAATGTGGACAATTCTTATGTGCCCATTAAAACAAATAAAAGAGCATGTGACTAGGAAATACCTTTGCTGCAATCTGCCACACGCCACCCTCCAGCCGCAATTCACGTTCCACTCGTGCTAAACACACTCGTCCCCTCCCCCAAGCTCTGCACGTCTCATCCCGTAACAGTGTCAGCTCCAAGACAGCATCTCATACTACGGAAACAGGCAGTGGTGGACATGGCTGTGCAGGTCCAGGCCGTTGGCACAGCGCCGGAGCTCCGTTCCTTGGTCTGAATCCTGCGAAGTAGAGAGACAGCTGCCTCTCACGTACCCAGCTCACAGCCGTGAGCTGGCAGAGGGTAATCACTGTGGATACTCTCCTTTCCCAAGAGGGAAATGGGAGGTGCACACAGCCCTGGCCCCTCATCCTCTGAGATCCAGCTGGGCACCTGTTGCCAGTTCCCTGGTGAGGGCTCAGGTGTGCTCCCACTGGTGCTTCTCAGTGTGGACGTGGGGTGTTTCCCTCTCAGGCTGTAATTCTCTCCTATGATTATCTGTCTTGATTCTCAATCTGTTACAGATTAGGCCAGGGGACAGAGTCCGGACTCTCCTCTATGTCCTCTGGACTGTGTCCTGGTCACTGTTTGAGCATGTCCTGGCCTTCTGGCATAAAATGTTCCAGGCTCAACTTGCACCTCCCCTGCCCCAGCCCTGGAAATCAGCTCCTTCTCAAGGAGCCATGGGTCCTCCTCACTTGATTTTTTCCAGTTGTTTGTTATTGTGATAAAGCACATGTAACGTAGAACTTATCATCTGGGCCATTTTCAAGTGTAGAGTTCGGTGTTCCTGCCTGCATTCATAATGTGCAGCCATCAGCACCATCCATGGGCAGAACTTGTAAAGCTGAAACTCTCCCCGTTAAACAAGAACTCTCTACCGTATCTTTGTCCTAGTCCCTGGCACCACCGTTCTACTACTGTCTGTCTCCACGGTTTTGACCCTCTGGCTATCTCATAGGCATGCAGTCAGATGGTACTGGCCCTCTTGTGACAGGCTTGTTTCCCTGAGCCTTGTGTCCTCCGGCTTCATTGATTTCAGGACCTCATCAGCTGGGTCAGGCCCAAAAGAGGGTGTGACTCCTGTGCCCCCCCCCCTTTTTGACAGGCAGAATGGACAACAGTGAGAGAGAGAGAGAGACAGAGAGACAGAGAGAAAGGTCTTCCTTTGCCGTTGGTTCACCCTCCAATGGCCGCCGCGGATGGCACACAGCGCTGATCCGATGGCAGGAGCCAGGTGCTTCTCCTGGTCTCCCATGCGGTGCAGGGCCCAAACACCTGGGCCATCCTCCACTGCACTCCCTGGCCACAGCAGAGGGCTGGCC